CTATACTTCGTCTGCGTCCTTCTTGCGTTGTGAGTTATCGAAAATGAGCTGTCACCGACCAGCCCAGATTTCTCTTCTTGTACTTCTTGTGCCGTTATGGTCTGTTGGGCTCGCTCATTTCAAGTTTGGCAGTGTGCAGTTGGCTGCATGTTTTTTATTTGCACTTTCGTTTCATTTAACCTTCACTTTATCAGTACGCACCTGTCCTGTATGCTCTTCGTTTAAGTCTTTGTTAGTGTCGCACTAGTACTACCTTCATTACATCATGGAGCACTGATATTTAATGCGAAATCCCTTCCTCAAGTCTAGAGCAGCCAACTGACTGTATCTATTTTAACCTCCCTATCTTTCCTCTGCCTCACTCTGAGTCTCTGAAAAAACCTTCAAATGAAGGCACCAGCTTGCATCCCGCTGAGGTTCCTTTTTGTTTTACATGTGCCTCTTTGTAATCAAAGTTGACGGTTGACTCTGCAGTGGTTTTCAGACTTGTGCAGGGATCTACTGATTCTGTAGTGGAAGTGTTACTATGTGAACATCGAGGGCTCATTCTAAGCACTCTAGTATGTGTAACCGGATTTTAAATAAATTATATTAACTGGGGCAGATTGTGTGCTTTCACGTCTGAAGAGCTGCGATAATGATGACACATATATACAGATGAAGACGACAAGGCACTTGAAAAGCACTTTCATTTGAAGAATGGCACTGAAAAAAGTCAAAGTGACCTTCCTCTCCCCACTAACCATAAACCAATGTTTATGTGTGAATGGGTGCTATCACTGGCTTTCTGCTTGATGCTTCAAATACTGTAAACACATCGCCTCAGGAATGTGCTTGCTAATATTACTTACATATAATGATTTATTACTGGATAAAAATAAACACAAGGGGGTCACAAGCATGTGGCGATTTCATAATGTAGATTCCTGTCACAATCCCTGTGACAGTCATTAATGAGAATTATACAGTGTACTTGTTGTGTGCGGGAGCATGTACTTGTGTTTTCATGTAAAAAAAAGGAAAAAAAAACAGTGGCAGGATTTTGCGGAAGGAAGGAGACTAGTAGGAAAATTGAGAGTTTAAAAATAGCATAGTCGCAATGGCTGCCCCTAGCATGTGGAAGGGATTGCAGCACTTTTCATCTCTTTATGAGAAAAAAGTGCAGTTGCGCATCCCTCCAGTATGAAGTTCATCATTGGTTTTAACACAGTGCGGTGGCGATACAGGTAGGAGTAATTGTCGACAGGCAACAGAAACAGGTCACCAGATAGGTGTGTGCCGATCTTGGGGGTCCATGATGCTTGTGACTTTTCTCAGTTTTCTGTTTCGCTGAGACGTAACAGGTAATTAAATTACATTGTATCTTCGTGGTGTTTCAAAGGGGAGCTTACAAAGGAAAGAAATATTTAATTGGGTAACATTGGTTCTAATATATGAGCTCATCGAATACTCTCGTCAAGGCTGCTATTGTCAAGTAACAGGACAGAACAAACTAGTCATTATAATATACGCAGAAACTAGCTTGTACAAACGAACCTGTAAGGTGTAAAATAATAGCTAGATTGGTTTACATCCACATTTACAGCATTAGAAGATACTATCTAATGACAAAGCAACATGAGCACTGACTTGACCACAGCGCATGATATTCGAACAATCAGAAGAGAAATGGCAGGAAGCTGTGAAAAAAAAATTACAGGCTACAAACTGACACCAAGCATAGTGAACATGCTCTAAAGAAGGGGATTCCTAGGCTGTTTTAACATTCTGATAAGTTTTCTTATATTTCATTTTTTTGTAGTGTTATTGTCATTTTGAAATGTAGATGAATCAATAAGGGAGATATCAGGTCAAAGGATGGAATTGAATCTTGGTTTTGCTAGTTTTAGATGAATTGAAGAAGTGCTTCTTCCAGGCAACAATAGAACAATTGTCTGGAGACAGCTGCGGCATCAGTGACATCAAAAGTTTTGAATTTATTTTCTGTTTACTGCTTGTTTCAGTGGCACTACTGTTTATATTTGTGGCCACTCTCCCCCCCCCCCCCCCCCCCAAATTCCCCCTTTTTTTTTAATCTTTGAGGAGCCATTAAATCTGCACTTGCTGTGTTAAGTAGGGTTCAAAATGCACTTTAATTTTATATTTCACCGTATATTTCTGCTATTATATTTCAGACAGTGAAATCAAATGTTCTTTTCACTTGTCAAAGTTCATGAATTGTTTGAAAAATTTTGAGGGGTTTTTCAGTTCTAGTAAGATTTTGATTTGGGCTAGTTGGTTCACAGTTCTTCAAAAGTATAGTACTATTAAAACATAAGAAGAAAGAACGAATTCGGTGTGGTGTGTTTCTTCTTCCATTTTATTTGTGCAGTACTAGAATTTCTCGTTGACTTTTACGGCTGTTGCTTGCTGGGTTTTTCACCTGTGCTGAAATCACCGCTTCAGGCAACATTACCCGTAGCTGTGAGCATTAAGCGGACATTCCAAGATCTTCTTGTATTCATTACGAGCATTCCTACCATTTTCTTGTTGTTCATTCCTGGGAGTCGCCATGTACGTGCAAAAGGATCTCATAATGTCACACAAAGCTTTCCGAGCATTGGGTCGTAGCTGTTTGAGTAAAAGGAAAAGGCAAGGGTGTATCTCTCACTGTCTCATATGTGCTTACGGTGCTTATCGGATATTCCTTGTCTTGAAGGCTTGCTAGACGTCCTCTGCTATCTGCGCAGAGGAAAGAATAGGGGCTCTCAAATCTTGCAGCACATTGCACGTCCTTTTATCAGTGTAGCATTGAAGGGCTTGGGAAGATCTGGACTTGTCTTATTTTATGGGCTTGTATGCGTTGGTTGGGCAACTGTGTCCTCGTTTCTTGTTTTCTCTCCTGGGCCTTACCAGGCCGAGAAGGATTAATGAAATAAGATGCTCACACTTCAATACATGCAGTGGCTGGTGCCTTTGATGCTGTGCTTATTCTTTTCTAATCGAGAGTCCCCACAACTGGATGATGCATATGGTGTTCGTCTGCAGAGCTCTCATACTCTGAAAGAAAGTGGCCAAACTTTGACTTGTAGCTAAATGTTCTGTATTTTACTGGGACTGTGTATTTGTTTCCACACCTATGAAAGCTCATTTGAAGTTGACAGTATAAATGAACAAACCATGGAGGTCAGAGTTATCTGAAGGTCTCCATGGACTGCAGTATCACTTTTAACCTTGCACTTTTTTTCCCCTTGTGAATCAATTAAAGGGAGTACTGACACAAAATTGTGCAGGCAAGATAATTTGTGGGAAAGGTTGGTGTGGACACACATGCATCATGCTCGAAATTATAGGTAATTTATCCTAGAACGTATTTCAGATCATTACTAAAGTGAGTGGTTGCACCACTGCATGCGAAACGCATCTTTGGTTTTGATGTAAACAACCAACCACTACCTGTGTCATGAGTTTGTGTTGGCTGTTAGCATCCATGTGAGCAATCTCTCGACAGATCTTTTCAACGGAAATACAAAGGTCGATGTTCTTGCCTCTGCAGTGCATTTATGGGAGTAAAGCTTAAAGGAGCACTAACACAAAATTTTCATGAAAGATGAGTGAGGTAGATTTCCCTAGAGACATACATATCCATGAAATATCAAGGGCAACTATAACCTAGAACATATTTAAAAGCGATTTGAAAGTGCCTGCCTAAAGAAATGGGGAGCTCCTTGTGGCAGAAGTGTAAACAAACCTACGTCACGAGCGTGTGTTGGCTGTTTGTTTGGCACGCTCCTTCCGCTTGCGCTACCTACAATTTATTTCTTCATGCCTGCGGCTTTGCATGTGTCGATTGTGCTCACTGTCATTGTGGCGCCTGCTGGTGCATGCTTTCGCACGAGCTGCCATGTTACATTTTTGCGTGGTCACACGGCCAGCTGCATTTACCTTGCTACTTGGAACTTCTCCTTCCTAACTCATTGCTCTTTGAAACGGAAACTGTCACTAGTAGCACTAAAAATGTCTCTAAATAAATAACCATCGCGCGCTCGCGCCAGTGATGTTTCTAGCAGTGATAAGTGGTCATAAGCTATCTATCTATCACTATGAAAGAACAGTGTGCAAAATTTTTGCATCAGTGCTCCTTTAAATGCATCTCACAGCGAACTATAGCAGCACCCAGGAAGCCTTTGTTCATAAGAGTGGCCAACGCAGTGCTCATGGACATGTTGTTTTGTGTGCTAAGGTTGCCAGCTATGTTTAAATGAAAACCTACTTAAGTGAAGCTTTGGGCTAGTTGGTTTTTTATGATGAAATAAGAAAAGCGTGACATTCTACACAGGGACTCAAAATAGGCGACACAGACAAGTGCTGACCTTCAACTGAACTTTTAAGGCGAAAGGAAAATATATGCAAGCGTAAAAGCATGACAAGATTCCTTTCAAGGGATGATTTCGAGGGAGATTTGTCACTCATGTTTCCAAGTATGGAGTTTGTTTTTTTGTCTTGTCCTGGGGCGGTATTCTTTTGGAAAGACTGGGCCGGGGCCGCATAAATCTGTTCATATGTTACGGGCACGCATATAACTCTGATTGTTGTTTCTCTGCATATTTGTCTTGTATTACATTGCATGTGTCCTGTCCGACATTTATTTATTGACTTCGTAGATGAGTACGTCATCGTTCCCACACCGACCTATATAAGGCTGAAACTTGAGGGATAAAACACAGACGCCAAAGAAAGCTAACGACTATGCAGCAAGTGTTGGCATGAAAACGGCTAGACAAAAATGGTAGTTTTGGTTAGAAGCAAATGTTGGCAGCCCACATTCTGCTTTGGTAGACAAGCAGCGAAGTTTACTTAGGAAGGTTCTTTTCATAGATTCAAAAGTTTTCTCATCCTTTTCACCACAGCATCATGTTCATTGAAAGTCATTGCGATGTTTTTTGCCCATTCTTTAGATGTGAATAAAAAGCTCTCACCTAAGTGTTCCCCCCCTGCGCTCACTCCCTTCCTTCTTCCAGGATATGAAGACTATGCTCTATGGGGCCGTGGAACGAGCACCATCTGCAGAAGGTGAGCATTGTTCTGCCCTTCAAGTACATAATTTCTCTAGCGTTCAGCAGTTACTGGTGTTTTGATTGTCAATATTGTTGTCTGAATACCTCACGTTTTTATCCTCATGTCTCTATGAATACTCACGTCTTTCCCTCGGATAGCTTTGTGATCGTTGTTGCCATGTGAATGCCAGACATTTGCAAGAAAGAAGCTGCCTGAACGGGTTCACTTTATAATGTTGCAATTCGCTTGGGGAGAACTCGATCCGATTGATCTTCACTGCTACTTAGTGATGATGGCATTTACTAGGCTAAGTAATTATGTTTTGGCATCATCGGAATTTCCTAGAAATATCCCATTCATGACAGTTTTTCCATAGTGCTACTCATTTATTCAGGCTTTTTGAACTTGTGAATAAAAAAGAAGTTTGACTATGAAAAATAGTAAAAAGACATAGATTTTTCAAAAAGGGAAAAGATGGCATCATTTCATTTTACCATTCTAACATAAAGGCCTGAGACTTGGAGGATAACAAGCTTTTGTATATAGTGAGCAACACGGAACATGTAATGGAACAGAAAAATGATTGGCCCAACGCCACGAAATAGGAAACCAACAGAGCGTATTGGAGAACAAACAACAAACTTTCTAGTAGAAAAAAGCTTCTGGGAAGTCAGTGTGGGGGAAAATGTGACTAGCCTTCCACTTGCTGCTGCGGAAAACACTGCTATGCAGTATCAAGATGGCAGCATTGAATGTAAATGCTGAGTAAGCAAGAGATCTTAAATTGAGACGATGGAATTTCATTTTTTTAAGCTACACTATGAAACCATTCTTGAATGAAAGCATACTGGGCCAGCAAAAATCAGTCTTCAAGGTGTGCCCCATGTCAATTTGCCCGAAGGGAATGTAGGACTTCTGGGCATTCAGTCAACTCTTCTGACTTTTTCATAAAATGTATGAATTTCGACTGCACTTACGATTTTACGAATGTTGCCTGAAAATTTATAAAAAATATATCATTTTCGATAAAAAATAATATTAGTAAATTAGCGTTTCCTCCGCGACTGGCTATGGCGTATTGCCATAGCTAGTCGTGGAGGCCACAAAAACGGCGTTGTGCATTATTCCGCCACCAGGAGAAAACAATGTGTATTGGTGTTATCATCATCACATACCTGACAAGTCTCCCGCATTGTCTGGGAGACTCCCATATTTTGACCGTTTCTTCCGTTTGTACGGTTACCATGAAAATCTCTCGGAAATCAAAATTTGTGTGCGAGATCTGCTCACATTGACAAAAATGCAAGTCAGTCTATTCCAGGATTTTTGTGAGCCCACCGCATTTTATTTTAAACTAATTTGAGAGGCATTCATCTAGACATACAGTAGAGTCTCAGTGATGCGAAACCGGGGCAAATACGAATGAGTGAAATTCTCCAGCTGAATTCATGTGTCCATTGGGCCAAAATTCGAATGTTCCGAACACTTTTCCTAATCGCGAAATGCGATCTAAACTTCAGCACCGAAACCATCGAATGAAGGCCGATGGAGAGCAGCATGCTTGATGCTTCGGATGTACGTGTGCGACTAGCACACGCTATGTCTTCTACAGTGCGTGTGGTTGTCGATGCCACAATTGCTGTGGACAAAACTGCGATCTTTCGACACAATCGTGTATGGTGACAGCGTCGCTGACAGAACTCAAAAAGTGTGCGCACGGCCAACGCTCAACCAGTCAAAGCAACCCTGCTTTCCGCAAATTTAGTGGAGAAAACGATGGCAGTTGCGATCATAGATAGCATAAAACGACTTAGTTTTGAAGGCACATGGATTGAAAACAAAACTACAGTTTGCCGCAATCCCCGCACACAAAACCGCGATCGCGGCGATGCGATAGCGATCAATCTACGAGCTCTGAGGGCACGTGGCTGACGCAGTGGTCGATTAACAGTGGTAAAGATGTAAAAAAGGCTATAGTTTTGGTGTTCCTGTCCAAAGAATCTAGTAGCAAGCAAAGACAAAGCTTTGACCCGCGCTTTGCTGTGCGTCCTGTCCATTCATGCGTGAAGACATACTCGAGTTGTTTTGATGGAAATCAATTTTTTTGCTAGTTAGTTTGATGACACGAAGTTTTGCGAGCATTTGGGCTCCCTCTTTGAGACTAACCTTAGTGGGAAACCGTACCCTCTTGTGTTCAGCCACTCCAAGCCATTGTGAGACCGCAACGCCAATGTTTGCGCTTGTATTTGGACCCCCTCTACCCATTCTTGTTTTTTGCAATGTTTTTTTTTTCTTTTGGTGCTGAAAAAGGGGGAAAATAATTCAACGCGTCGATTTGACTTGTGTTGGCAAACCATGGATTATGCTTGTCTCTAAAGCCAAATCCATCACAGCTACAAATTAAAAAAACAAAGTTGATAACCCCCCACCCCCATTTCTCGCTTTGCTATGTTGTCAGATTGGCAGGTATGAGTATAGGCAGCTGTGCCTTCTTAGAATAATAATAACAGAGACAGTGCTCTGTTGCAGGTAGGAGTGGTAGCCTTCATGAATGCAAATTATGCTATCTCTTGGGATTATCAGTTTGCTCTGTCATTGTTGCCTGTGCCTACCAGCAATGCCAGTGTTGAGAGCATGTTCTCATGCATGAAACTTGTGAATATACTCTACCAATACATGATACATAGTCTCATGTTGAGCGGTATACTGCATGGTAGGGTCTCCCATTTCTAGCTCAAACTGTGTTCAAAATTGCTTCTGGGAAAAAAAAAAAAAACAGAATAATTTCAAGTAGTGCAATAGCGGTATAACGTTTATGAACTACCTAGCAGAAGCATAGAATTTTACCAGGTGTCAAAACATGCGAGTTCTGCAATGAGTGGCAGGTCTGCTCGTAAAATGGTCAAGCATAATTCGTCATCATCAGCAGCAACAGCATCAGCATAGTGGGCGGATGTACAGGTGTGTTGCGTTGCAGACACATAGGGGGTGCTTTGCGACTTGGTAAAAGGAAGAATTATGGCGTAGTGGGAAATTTCGGCCTCACTTGCAGTAGACAGTCTAGTTCATTTTGAGTGGGCCTGTGCCATGTGCACAGAATTTTTTTTTCTTGAGGCACGGCCGAGGTGTTCATCGAAAAGCAATGCCTGACTAGCCATTCAGAAAGGGATGTGCACAGTGTCCGATTACACTTTCATATTCTACTTTTGAAGTTGAAGCTTAAGAACCCCTTCCTGCCCCTCATTTTTTTTTTTTTTGTGGGAATGTGCAGTGGCATATGTGCAAACAGCTTCTGAATTTTTATTTATAATTTTATATTTTCTGAAAGCTATGGATAACAGTGATGAAGCAGATAAACAAGAAAGAAATAGAAAAAAGCAGGTGAACAAATGGCATTAAAGTTGAGTGTTATTCTCATTTAGTATGCAATAGGTAGAGATGAATAGTTGAGTGAATGAAGCCTTTGGAAACTAACTACCAAACGGCCACGTTTTTGAGACATTGGACTTCATGAACTTTACTACAAGCCTAAGTGTTGTTTGAAATTGGAGCTTAGCAATTTTTTTTACGTACGGGCTACAAGGGGCAAGTTAGTCTGTTCTGGTTATGAACTTTCTAAGTTTGTAATTGTAGTTAATGAGGTTATTAGTTATTGTTTCTCAGAAAGCCTTCATCACATGGCATAACTTGAAAATGCCATAGTGTCAGTATAGTAGAAATTGTAAGCATAGAAGAATCTACAAGCCTTGTATAAGAGAAATAAAAAGAAGTGCACCACATAATGAACACGGCAAAACTTTTATGTCTATCATAATTATGTATCACACTGCATTATGTGCTAAGTATGTAACACACTGTAAAAGCATTTTTGACTGTTAAAGTGAGAAGGGATCATGCAGTGCGATTAGATGTGTGTTTGCGTGCTTAGGCGCTTTACGAGTTTGAAAAAGTGTTGCTTGCGTGTTTTCAACTGGACTTGCTGCTATTACTGTTTTTTAAAATTTGTTTCTGTTTGTTATTTTAGTGGTGGAACAGAGTGTCATTACAAGGTACCTGGCATCATTTGATGAAGAATTCTTCCAGTACTGTGACAAGGAGCTGGCCAAGATCAACACTTTCTATTCTGGTAAGGAGGTAACATTGTGTTTCAGGCACCTGTAGATTGTCAGTGTGGTAAAAAAAGACAATGTCCTAGGCCTGCTGCCACTGACTACCATAGTGTTTTATATGAATCAGTAAACACTTTGTGCATCTGAAGTGTTGGAGTTCACATATTACATAATTCATGCTGTCGAGATCTTCTCTAAGTTTGAGGTAAAGAATATGCTTACACAGCATTTGTAAACAGCGGCAAATTTCCAGTCTGCTGCACATGGCACAGGTAAATCTGCACATAATGGCAAAGTACAGTGTTATTCTCTAATAGTCATCATCACGAAAGACTAATAGGGTGGCCTACTGCCAGGCGGCTGGCAAGGTTGTTCTGGCTGGTTATGCCGGGAAGGCTTTTTTTTTTTTTTTTCATGTCAAGTCTTGTGAATGCTAAGCAGGTTCAACTCGCACTGAAACACCCACATCATTTAAGAAAGGGGCCTCAATTTGAAAGCTGCGCTTTCAGCATAAACAGAAACTTGAGCGCCTGTGATCTTAAGCACTCCCCTGTGGAGGGTCGATAGTTTGTTATAGTTTTAGGCAAACATTTCTAATTGATGCTAAAATTAGTTGCATTTAATAACACTAGTAATTATTACATATGTTAAAGTATTTCATTTAGGGGTTATCAGATATAGAGCTACAAACTAAATAAAAAAAGTCAACAGAAAATTTTGCCATCCGAATTTCTTTAAACATCAGATTAATAATATGTGGTGTTTAACGTCTCAAAACTACTATATGATTATGAGAAATGCCGTAGTGGAGGGCTCTCCTAATTTTGACCACCTGGGGATCTTTAACACGCATCCAAATCTGAGCACACGGGCTTACAGCATTTCCGCCTCCACCGAAAATGCAGCCACTACAGCCGGGATTCGATTCTGCGACCTGCGGGTTTAAAGATCAGATTGTCCAAATTTGGGGTTGCATATATTTCGACTGTAGAATATTTTCCAAAAAGTCTTTGCTATTCTATTTGTACCACTATGTTACTGTTCAAAGCATTTGAACTTCTGGCAAAAAAATATAACTGTGTTACTTGCTAAAAAGTCAAATCGCAGTGCTTCTGAATACTTTAAATGTGACATGCTTCCATGCTGATGATTACAAAAAAAAAAAAAGCAAGCACAATGCACTCTCATGGAAAGGAAATTTCTTCTGCTGGCAGTTTTGTTCCCTACTCAGTTCTGCCATCTTTAAGGTCATAGATATGCCTTGATCACGTGTCACTTCAAGAGCCATTACCTTGAGAAGCTTGCTCTACCAAAAGCTGCTTAAGGGGACATGCAGGTCAAAAAACGCGAGTTTTCTTCAAAATTACCAATTTTTTAATTTTTGCTGTTTTGATCAGATTAGTACCTCTACTGTTCTAAAAAAAGTATATACATGCCGAAACTTAATTGGAAATGCTTTAAAATTGCGTCTAAAGAGCACAAGGTGCCTGTTAAAAGGCCCTTGTGTGCACTCTTCGAGCACCTTGCCGCCAATAAGCGCTGCTGCTCGGCACTGTCGATTGCATGAGGCAGAGAGTCGAGCCTCACTCTTCGAATAATGACAGTTTCTCTCGCTGATGCGGCACAAGAAATAATAAAAAGTAGTACGCTTTTGCGCGTTTTTCAAGTGCCGAGAGTGGGTTATCACGTGGTATGGATAGGGGACCGCCATTGGCTGTTGCGCGCCTGTATGTGCTGTGAAGCCTATTTGCGGGGTCCATGTCTTGTCGAACAGCGCAGCTGAACAATGCTTTTTTCGTGTGTTTATCTTCATTATGAATGAAAAAAGCTATTTTTCAGGCATGAAAGCCATTTTAGTGGGGTGCTCTGTAGGAATAGGCTACGAGCAGCTGGTCCGATTTGCAGCAGCTGTTGGCTTGCAAAACTCAATGCGTCAAAAGTCAAAAGCCAAAAAATTCGTGATGCCGCAATGGATGATGTCAGCGCCAATCTTGCGAAAATGAAGGAGCTCACAGTGAGGGAACTTAGCGGGGACGACATTGCCATTATGTATGATGGTATGTGGCATAAACATGGCCGCAAAATGGCATCGGCACTATTGTGTCCCTCGACACTAAACTTAGTCTAGGTTTCGCAGTCCTGTCGAACTTCTTCCTAGCTTGCAGTATGCACAAGGTTCTGCTAGATGGAGCGGAAGTTTGGCAAGCGTTTCATGGCCCTGTCTGTGGAGTCTGCTCGAAAAAGCCGAGAAGGACAAACTCGTGGTGCTGGTGTATTTTAATGGCAGTGGCCACTACAAAAAGGATTGTTCTTTTGGGTGTGCAAATTTCATTGCATTTTATGATATCTTTTATAAATAAAAACAATTTTAAGTTTAAAACTCGTTTTTCTCGAAACACAAATTTTGCCATTTTTTTCAATGTGCCTCTCCTTTTTCGGGCACTTCTAGTGCTCGGATCTGCATGAAATTTTGCCGAAGTTCTTTACCAAGTATGACAAATACAATTATCTAGTTCAAACATCAATATTTTATTATATAATACAAACTTATGTGTAAACCTTTAATTTAACTGAGGTAGCCGAAATATACTTTTCTAGGTGTATTTTTCACGACTATTACATATTTTGTATGTGCTTCCTAATTAGTTATTTGCAATCTTTAATTTATTTGAAACATTATGAACTATGAATTGTAAGAAATTGCACAAGTTTAGGGATGAAAAGAGGGTGGAGGAGGGGTTAAGGTTTTTATTTTGTCATGTTGCAGAGCTAAAAATATGTAACTTCCAAGAAAACTAATTATATATTTGAAATTAACATAGAAAGTTCTATAAACAACTCAAGTTTCCTTGCTCTAGGGTGAATATTAAAAAATAAGTGTCTTCGATTAGCATCTCCTCTTAAGGACGTCTGCAAGCTTGTCACAAGGTCGATATTTTCCCATGTTCAATCCATAGACGCTTTCCTGGTAGACACATAGTTGAAGAGCTCCTTCCTTTGTTTGCACAACCACCACTACTCATGGACACAGGTTTTGAGCACGCAGAATAGGCTTAAAATGCTTTCTCTGTTTCTTCCTATACTTTGTCCTTTGTTGTGCTGTTGTCAGTATAAATGGCCTCTAATTTGCCCAAAGATTTGCTCTCTTATGCTTGTGTTCCTTCATGCACTAGCCTCCTTCAAGATGTCGCAAGACACTGTAGCCTTTAACTCAAGCGCTCTACTCCTTGCAAGATGCATGTATGACACGCTGCTCTTCTTTTTGGCATTAAGTATATCAATGGTATGTCATGCGTAATCCTGCCAGAATACTGTGGTGTACATGTATGTACGTATAAATGTATGTATGTGTGTATGAAAGAACCCCAGGTGGTCGAAATCTCTGGAGCCCTCCACTACGGCGTCTGTCATAATCACATGATGGTTTTGGGACATTAAACCACACATATCAATCATGTACGTGTGTATGTAAAGAGGGCTGTTTCCAGACAGATTCTGTGTAACTCGTCACTTTATTTCGTTCTCGTCAATAATCACTGGTAATTTTTTTATGTTGCTTATTTGATCCAGTTTGAAATTTGGCTTTTTGAGCTACTGTATAACCCTACTGCTTCATCTGTTCCAAGTAGGATTTGTATCGGAAGAAAAAAAGAAGTGGAGAGGTCAGGGATGAGCATGTCAAAAGACCACATATAGTACTTGTCATGTAACACGGGGCTCATAATGTGGCTGTATTTATTAGTACACCTGATGTGACTGTTTTTGCTAAATTTCACTGTTGTTTACGAAAAAATATCTAATGGAGCTTCTGATGTTCCAACCAGTCTATTCCTTACAGCTTCTAACAAAGCTTACAATTGTGCTATGCTCTTGACATTGCAGATGATTTTACACTGAAAGGAAACTAAATGAAATTTTACAAAAAAATTGAAGTTCTATTGAACTCAAGGGTACAGTCACTTGAGCAATGTTACTTTGTGTTTGAGTTTAGCATTTTTTAGTCAATATAACTGTGCATAGTGTTGAAAGATAGTTCATTGTGCCAAACCTGGTTGTAAACCGGTTCTTCAGTGCTGCATGCTGTTGTAGATTTTTAAAAATTATCGGAGTTGGAAGTGAGCCGGAGCACATTGGAATGTGGGAAACTGCAACCCATAAGTTGTACTTTTTTTTTTCGTTTCAACACCCTACGTAATGGACCACAATGTCTTTCCTTCTTTTTTTTTTCGTAAAAGGAGTCCACAAATGTCAGGACCATCTCTGGCAGTGGGATGTCACATAACGAAACTTGCTGTGTTAAATATTGTCTCATACCCTCAACAGTCATTTGCTGAAAATTTTCTAAAGATCATCTACACATATGCTACAAAGCTAGCTTCCTTGCATAGCCATGAAGAACTCTCATGAAGCCACCTTTGTAGACCAGAAGTTGCAATTTAAATCTGGAGTTTAGCTCAGCTTAAAACAAAATTTGTGCAGAATATACACTGCAAAAGCATAACTAATTTTGTGCAATTACCATGAACTGTCACCGCCAGCTAGTGCACAAATCTCTGGGTCTTTGGTGAGATTGTGCTTGCCCTAGGGCTAGACATTTCTTCCTCATAGTCGAGCTGTTTTTTTATAATTTTGCTGGTGCAGAAAAACTAGCCGAGGCAACACGAAAGTTCAGCAACCTCAAGTCCGAGCTGAACAACTACATCAGCAAGCTGGAGTCGCACCGGCTGAGTGGCAGCGCAGCTGTCGGTGGAGGAGGGGGTCGACTGGGTCTGATGAAGGCCTTCGACCGGCAAGCACAGGAGGTCAAAATCCACACGCGCAAGATTCACGACCTGAAGCTGGCCTTCAGTGAGTTCTACCTCAGCCTCATCCTCCTGCAGAACTACCAGAACCTAAACTTCACTGGCTTCCGAAAGATCCTCAAGAAGCATGATAAGGTAAGACTGCCACATTTTCCTTGCATTTGTCAACAGAGAGAACAAAAAAATGGCTATTTAAGAACAGGACTGTGTCCAACAGTCGACTCTAGTTAATTCAAACTCGAAAAGGCCTCTGAATTTAGTTTGAATTTTCGAGTAGCAACAGTGAACATTGATTTTAAGGCCACGATCGTGGGTGCGCTTGGTATCTCGGCGAGTATCAGTGTGGTTTCAATGCAAAGAGACTGTGTGAAAAAAGCACTTCTCCCTGGAGCGGCCGTACTTGCTCACACCAGTGTTTTGTAGGAGTTCCGCGATATGGATCCAAAAGAGTTTGCTGCCAGCCTTACTTCTTATAACATTACAATTTTTTGCTATCGCGTTCATTGCATTGCATTCAAGGCACCGTCGTGTTGCCAGAACTAATAGGCTAATCACAAAAGCTACCAGTTAGTGAACTCGCGGCGTGGCGCAAAACGGAAGCGCGTGACAAGTTGACCTCCGAAGATTCATCATCACTGTGGTCTCGGAGAGTTTCAATCAGCATCTAATCTGACATCCCCTTGGTGGTGAGGACACGGTTGTCCGAAATTAAGAAAAGACATAGTTTCGCCGCAAGGTCAAAGCAATTAATGCGATAATAACAACTTAGAATGTAAGTATGAAAACGGCAAGCACATCAACAGGTGCAGTGCGCTGCTCACGCACAAAAAAATATGCACGAAAACAACATACACAGGATGAGAGCGAACAAACAAAGTTTACCGATCGACAGTTAATGCGCTGTTTAAACAATAACAAGGCACAAAACGTAGTCACAGGTATAGATATGAGTGTGAACTCACAAGTGCCCCAGTTGTTAGTTCGCTGTGTTTGAAAAGCTCACTCTTTTCGCAATTGGCGCCTGTCCAGCGAGCGAAGTAGTCTTTGTGCACCCGGCAACTAAACACAATTGTTCCGGTATTAGTCGAAGGTGCGGGATTCTCCCCAACGAAGAATAAGCGCACGTGCATCTACCCCCCCCCCTCCCCCATCTGTGGGGCAAAGTGCGCTTGGAAGATGGGCGCACATCGGCGCATTATGACGAGCTGGGCACCGAATGCGGGTGGCCTTTTTTTTTTTCTTGAGTTTTCTGGTATATACCTTATAAACTGGACTAGAGGTTGAGTTGGAATATAGGTCGACCCCTCAAGTTCAGGTTACCAAAAAAGAAAAAGAGGAAAACAACCCCAAATTGCTGAAAGACATTTATTTGCGAGTTGGGCGCACCGCACCCCGATCGTCGGAGCTCCCCTTAACCACCATCGCAACTGTTCTATTCGTCAGACGAAGCACCACTGTCTTCTGAAGATGAGAGTTTGTTGCTGGCTGCCTCCCACAGTGCGTTGTCTTCCGTGCCATCCAGCGAGTTGCTGATGGAACATTTCTTAAAAGCATTTTCCAACATGGAATCTGGCAAGGAAAGCCAGGCGGAAAGCACTCAGCCACCAACAGTCGCAAGCGGAGACCTCTGTAGGTGGCCCGTCGGTGTCTTTGGGTTGTCCCCGGACATCCACTTTTGGTACTCCAGCCGCACTCGGTCCTTGAACAGCTTGTTTAGCACAACGTCGATTGGTTGGAGGGCGGACGTCATACCACCTGGTATCACGGCGAGGTCCGTTTTTCCATCGCCCAGTGCGCGCTTCACAGCATCGGTTAAGTGACCACAAAACGCATCTAACGCCAGCATGCTGCAAAGACGCAGCAGTACACCTGGCTGAGGCTTCCAGACTACTCTTATCTATTCGAGCATCATCGCCTCGCCCATGTATCTCTTTTTGTTGACGCCAACGACAACACCGGGCAGGAACACTTCCTTCGGCATTGTCTTAGGTTTGAAAATGATAAAGGGCGGAAGCTTTCTACCATCTGCCATGCATGCCAGCATGACGGTGAAGTGCGAGTGCTTGTTGCTAGTGGACAATATCCTTGGCGCCAGGCTGCATGATCATGGTTGATGAAGGCATGCCAAACCACACGGGGGTCTCATCAGCATTGTCAATCTGCCCCATCATGTAGTTGTTCTGCTCCCGAAGTCAGTTCACGAAGCCCTGAAAGTTTATAAGCTTGTCCTCAAACTAGTCTGGAAACTTCTGACAGATGGATGTGCGTCACCCGAAAGAAAATCCTTTGCGTCTCATGAATCGACGAACCCAAGAGTTTGGTGCACGAAACTCTTCTCTCGTGAGCCCTGCTTCACGAACGAGTTCCACAGCTTTCTTGCGAATGGTATCCACGGTCACTGGCAGCGAGCACACATGAACTTCCCACACAATGTTCCCGAGCATATGCTCCAGCTGCGGATGAACCGCACTTCGCTCACGAAATGACATTTTCCGAGGATTGCACATCTGCAGCTTCCCTTTCTGCACCCTCCAATAGTGCACGCTTTTTTCTCATACACTGAAGCGGCGCTGAGCAGCCATATTCGCATTTGCTTCTGTGAACTCAACAACCTTAGTGTAAATGCAGCTGAGTACTGCCTTCTCGTACCGCTACTCATATTAGTGAACGAAAAAAAGACCACTAAAAATGAAACATAATGTCAAGCGGAGCGAGAACTTAGAACAGATCCGAAGCAAATCACGAACACAAAAGAAAAACAGACGAGAGAAAAAAAACAACCTGCTATTGGATTTGAATGCGAATATGGCCGTGTCCAGCTTCTCATGCATATGCAAGCCACATTTGCCAGACAGTGGTGCACTGTCCGCTAGACACCGCTATATCAGACAAGGGGCCACTTTAACTCGTTTTATTGAAGATATCTTGACATATTCCGGTTTATACGGTAGATACGTGTACATATATGTGAATGACGGCGGCAATGGTGGCAAAAAACCAGCTGAGACTGTCCATATAATTGCTATCGCAAGAAAGAAAGAAAGCAAAGCTGTACGTCGTTGGGGGGGCACACAATGTGCGCGGAGTGAAACTATGCACGCACGCACGGTGCCGAAACCAAAGAGTGAACGACCGGGACGCAGGCGCGGATACTACGGAAAACTATTAATTCGGTGAAGTGCCCTCCATATTCAGCGCGGCCCCACATATGTGATGCTAACTAAAAGCATGGCACTGCCAACGTACAAAAGAAGGCTTCCTTTCTCTTTTTTTTTTGGTTTGGAGGCGGGGCACACCCGCGCATGCGCTCGCGGCGGCGAGTATAGCGACAACGTTGGCTCATAGGGTGCAGGCCTGTTTGAGCCATTTTCCTCCAAGGACTGAAGTGCTTATTTTTCAATTTTAGACTGTTAGAATTATGTAAGCATGCAAATTTTTAATCAGTAGTAGGAAAGCAGCAGATATCTTCTGGTATGGAACCGCAAAAAGTATGAATTAACTGAATGATGGAGTTTGACTCAAGAGGCTTTTAAACACATTGAAAGAATGGCGAGCCAACCAAAAAATTGAATTTTGTTTGAAATAACCGGAAGTATGAATTATCAGAGATTTAATTATCGAGAGTCTACTGTATCAGTTTTTTGGTAGCAGGAAACTGAACCTACATGCAACACTGGTCATAGACTCTGAAGGGCAGACTTGTTGGCTAGCTTTGCCGTAATGATCTAGTGGCTAAGATACTCACTCGGCTGCTGACCCATTGAATTTTATTGGGAACGAAATTAGGAGGTGTTCATCTAAACGTACAGTAAAATCTCAATGATGCAAAAGGGGAGTTCGTGAAATTCCCCAGTCAAGTTCAACTATGTTGCAATAACTTGGTGTAGTGCCACATACGAAATTGTAAGTAGTAGTAGTTGACAGGAAAGTGCTTCTTTTCTGTCAACTACTTCTTACAATTTTGTACGCCACGCTACACCCAATTATTGCAATGTAGTACCGGCTAGCCTGCATAGACACCTTTGTTCAGTATCAACTATGTTCATTGGGCCAAAATTTGGATGTTCCGAGCTCTGTTCCTCATCGCGGTGGGTCATATGAACTTAAGTGCTGACACCGTGGAAAACGGGTCGAGAACAGCGCACTCTAAGCTTTAGAAGGACATGCACGACCTATGCACGCACTGTTAGAACTGCAGTTATAGTTTGCCACTACCACTGTGAACGAAACTCTGGTCACTGTTGGACATTACAGAACTTCGAAAGTGCACGCGCCTTTAACGCTCGAACACTTCAAGCGACAACCACTGCGGACAAAATTGCGGCAGAATCGATCAAAGATTGCAAAAACGACATCGTTTTTAAAGTACAGTAAAACGTCGTTAATTTGTACTCGATTATTTTGAAATTCTGCTTAATTTGAAGTATTTCAGTGTACCCGTAATTTGCAATGCAAGTTTGAGTAGATAGAGTTTGAGAGAGTAAAGCAGCGGTCAGCACAAGTGCGGTTAATTCGAAGACTTTGGGTGCAGTGTGCCGATTCCGATTTTGCCTCAAATCCGCGGAAACGACAGCTCCTAAGAGCCACTAGAGAATGTAGTTCAGGGATACTAATGAGTGGTAGCTGAAGCACTCCTGCCTTGCTACTTTCAGCACGAAAAATAAAATTATAAAAAAAAGTCTCGTGGTCAGGTGAAATATGTGCCTGTAAAAAAAAACAAGAGATGCTTCTTTGCAATACAGCAGTGCCGTCCGGGCAGCATATTGCATGCTTCTCGCAACGTCAGCGCGTCACAATTTTTTCATTCTTTTTAAGATTTTCAAGAAATTATAAAGGTCAGTCTGAAGAAATCCGCTATGTCTGTGAACCTCGGAGTGCCAGTTGGTCCAGCAATTCGTGCACTTGCATAGCTGGTGGAGCTCTACTTCAAAAAGTCGGGTCGAAAGCTTCAATGGGTATGTTTACCAGCCGAACACATTGCGTCACACTTTTCATTATTAAATTATTTATTTTACAAGAAAGAATAGGCGAATGGTCGCAGCACGGCGTGCTGACGCAGCGAGAAGCAGGCAACATGTTGTCCGCGTTTTACTACTGTGCTGCAGTGAAGATGCCTCGTTTTTCGCAAGTGTGCA